TTAAAACATATAAATCAGCAAAAATATCCCATGCAGCTGGAAAGAAATTTTTTTGCAGACCAGTGTAATTATAGAAATTTCTCTATTTGTAAGAAAAGGTTCTGAAAGCTGTTTGCAACTCTGAAAGTCAATATTTTATATCTTACATAAAATTAGGTTTTATTGAACAGCATTAAAATGTTATTATTCCTAATCTATATATGTATAGTCACAGCAGAGAGGCAATTTTTAGTATAAATGCAGCTCTGAATGAGGCAGTTGGGACCTTAGCAGAACTGTAGACCATACCTGTAAGTGTACGAAAGTCGAAGGAACTAATGGTGTATATGTGACCCTTTGTGAGATACAGTTGTTAGAATATCTGACCAGACCAAGCTTGTTAAACAAGCAGTATTAAATGTTTAAGGCCACACAAAGCAGACAGAATGGCTTCCAACTGTACCCTGGAAGTAGTCAGTGAAATGCTGTTTCTCATATTTTATAAGCTTTTAGTCATTTCTAGTCTACAGCATTGATAAGGTTCCAACTGTCTCATTCAGAGTTGCATTTGTACCCAATTTTCTCCATCTTTCAGAATCATTTCTATTCTCAAAAAATTTATCCTACATATATATCCAAAATCCATCATTTACTTATTTTTCAAATAATCTCTTTTTGGTGCCATTCTTGTTATTAAGTTGTTCTTACTAGAACTTAAAACATTCTCATTGGTCAGAATATGATTTATAATTTTCATAATTAAACACAAGCACAATGATTATGCTAAAAAAAACAACAAAATACTGTGATGGTTGAAACTAAAGCAGCCATTCATGACTGCTAATGCCATCTATTGGTGAAAAAATACAACTTTGATCACAATCAATTTTGTTCATATTTATAAAGTCAGCAAGTAGAAACTTTGTAAGCACATAAGTTTCTGAAGTAAATATAATTAATGTTCAATTCTATAAGGAATGTAATTAAATTCTATTACTTAATTTTTTATACATAATAATTTGTATAAAAGTTAAGATTAATAAATAATACTTAAGAATAAATTGACTAAAGCAATTTGCTTTTAGTATATGTTAATTATTATTGTATCTACATATTTCTTGCAATTGTTATATTATATGAAAAGATGGGCAATTACAATAACAGATGGCAAAGCTTTTACTGAATACGTACAACATTGGAAATCAGTTCATACCACTAGATATATATTTAATATCTAATAAGCAGTGCAGCAGCAAAATGAAAAGATTTATAGAAAGTACACTCTAATTGTAAGACACTGTCCATTGGAGGAAGATCAAGCTTATTGTAAACTGAAAAATGACACATTTTATTCAGCATTGTCACTGCTACCAAATTTTTGGTAATCTACAAAAATGCATTTAAGACTACAGAGAGAGGAGAAAGACCATGACCACCTAAGTTTGAAAGAACAGGATCTAATTCCAAGCTCATAAACAATGCCAAAGTTACAGATTTATTTCATTTATAGTTACCCTTAAATAATAACTGCAGAAAAAAACTTGGTTGTTTTAATATGGAGGTAATGGATGGCCGCCATCGGTTAGACGAAATCTGGCCGTCTTTTTCCATCCATTTACATCTCCACAAAGACTGTCTTTATCAGAAGGCTGTAAACGTGAATTAGTTAAGTCCACGACCACGTTTTAAACTAAAACAACATTTATTTAACAACAATCCTCGAGTACACTTGAAAGAGAGCTACACGTGCTCAAGGCAGCGATCACCCGACAAGAAGAAGAAGCAACAATACCCAGAATTCTCTCTCTGGGAAAAACCCAGTTCCCGTTTTTCTATCCGGGATTCCCGGGAAACTCGTAGAGGAGTGGCGCCATCTCACCAGTCCGTGATTTGTCGCCGCAGTACCCCCCTCCTAGCGACCGCGATCGATGAATCTCACTGGGGGTTTGATTTTGCGGCCATGTCGTGAGATCTTCGTCTCATATGCGGGTTCTGGTTGGTGAGTATGCCCAGCCATCTTGTTGCTGGGTTGGTCTATCACCGGCTGTGCAGGGCTGATTGAGTCTTTCTCCTTGAGCATAAAGGCAGGTTTCAGTCTGTCGATGGAGACGACCACTTCTTTGTTATTTTTTTTAATTTTGAAGAATTTGTCTCCCTTTTCCACTACGGGGAATGGTCCGTCGTAGGGAGGGCGTAGTGGGGCGCGTACAGCATCGTAACGTAGAAAAACGTGGCTACAGTCTCTTAAATGCATGGGAACAAAAAGTTTGGGCTCCCCATGCGATGCTGCCGGCGTTGGTGTTAAGTTTTTGAAGAAAGACTTTAGTGTCTTTATGAAATCTGCAGTGTTTATGTCCGCTGGGGTAGGATCGAAGAATTCACCTGGTAAACGTATTGTCTGTCCGTAGACTAACTCACTGGACGTTGCTTGTAGGTCAGGCTTGAACGTTGTCCTTAACCCAAGTAGTACGGTAGGGAGTATCTCCGTCCACCGTTCTGTTAAGTAGGTTTTCAGGGCACATTTTAATGTCCGATGCCAACCTTCGATCATACCATTAGCCTGGGGGTGAAAGGAGCATGTATGTATGTGCTTGGAACCCATTAGAATAGCCAAAGACCGAAACAAACGTGATTCAAACTGGCGTCCCTGGTCGGTAGTAATGACCCCTGGAACGCCGAACCGAGCTATCCACGTTCGGTATAAGGCTTTAGCCACAGTGTCGGCCTCTATATCCTGCAGTGGTTCTGCTTCAACCCAACGAGTATACCTGTCGATCATAGTGAGACAATAGCAATGATTTCCGGAAGGAGGGAGCGGACCAATAAGGTCGATGTGGATGTGATAGAAACGTTTGTTTTCCACGGGGATGCTTGTAATCGGACTTTTAGTATGTCTAGTAATTTTGACGCGTTGGCAAGGAATGCACGTAGTTGTCCACTTGCGACAGTCAGCCTCCATGCCCGGCCATACAAACCGATCGGTTATTAGCTTCACCGTGGCTTTACTGCCTGGGTGCGAAAGGTCATGCATGGCATGGAAAACTGATTGCCTCTGCGTCTCGGGAATAAAAGGGCGAATCTTACCGGTGGACACATCACAGTACAGTTCTACTTGATTTTCTGGTAATATTAGTTTTTTAAGCTGTAGACTGGTCGAACTATTTCCCAAAAGTGATTGGAGGTTTGGGTCGGTCTTTTGTGCATCAGCAATTAATTTGTAATTTATGGGAGAAGGGCAAACGATAGATTCGACTCTGGAAAGTGTATCGGCCGGAATATTATCAGTTCCTTTTATGTATCGAATGTCAGTGGTGAACTGGCCTATATAGTCTAATTGACGTAATTGTCTGGGGGAGCATTTTTCACTTTTCTGGAGAAAAGCGAAGGTCAATGGCTTGTGATCTGTATATAACGTAAAAGGTCTAGCTTCCACCATAAAACGAAAATGCTTAATTGCCGAGTAAGCGGCTAACAGTTCGCGATCGTATGCCGAATATTTCTTCTCCGTATCTGTAAGTTTGCGCGAAAAAAAACCTACCGGCTCTGTGCCGGCTTTAGTGACCTGATGCAGCGCGGCGCCTAGGGCGAACTCTGATGCGTTAACCTGCAATGCTAAATGTGCGTCCGGGGATGGATGAGCTAGTAGAGCTGCGTTTGCTAATCGAGTTTTGGATTCCTCGAATGCCTTTTTTGCTTCGTCTGTCCATGAAATTTCCGCATTGTCGGATTGTTTTGCACCTTTCAAATATTCACAAAGCAGAGCTTGAGCATGCGCAGCGTGTGGAATATTACGGCGGTAGTAGTTCAACATGCCTAAAACCTACGGAGCTGCTTTACTGTTTTGGGTCGCTCGATCTTTATGACGGCTTCTACTTTCTGGGGGAGAGGTTTGATTCTGCTGGCGTTGACTAAATAACCTAGGAAAGGTAATTCATTTGTACCGAGTATGCATTTATCTGGGTTTATTCGGATACCATATTCTGATAAACGTCTGAATACTTTTTCCAGATGCACGTAATGTTCCTCCTTTGTCTTACTTGCCAACAGGATATCGTCTATGTAGACAAAAACAAAATCTAATCCATGTAAGACTTCGTGCATAAACCTCTGGAAAGTTTGTGCCGCATTGGACAATCCAAACGGCATGTATAAAAATTCATAAAGGCCGAAGGGTGTTGTAATTGCAGTCTTGGGTACGTCTTCGGGGTGGACCGGGATCTGATGATATGCTCGCGTTAGGTCTATTTTGGAAAATATAGTCTTCCCATATAAATTCTGAGCAAAATCTTGTAGATGAGGCAGTGGGTACCTGTCCGGCACCGTTATTCTATTAAGGGCCCGGTAATCCCCGGTGGGACGATAGTCCCCGTTCGGTTTGGGTACTAAGTGCAGTGGGTTGGACCAATTGGAATTACTCGGCCGACAAATGCCTAGTTCTAACATTAACTGGAATTCCTTTTTTGCGATTTCCAGCTGTTTGGGATTGAGACGGCGGGGGCGAGAAAAAACATTATGTCCTTTGGTAATAATACGGTGGACCGTGTTATGTTTGGGTTTGGTGCTAGATGGATATGGCCGAAGGATATCTTTATATTTGTTTAAAATGTCGCTGAATTCCGAATTAGAAGCAATTAAAGTAATGTTAGTTTGCGCGCCGTGGTGAGCAGACCCTGTCGTTGTCAAGGACGTTAATGGGTCTGTAATGCGGGCGTTTTTTAAGTCGATCAGGAGACCGAAGTGTCTTATGAAATCGGCGCCTATTATTGGTTTGCTGACGTTTGCGATTACAAAAGGCCACGTAAATTGGCGTCTTAAGTTTAAGGACACGGTTATGGTTTTTGTGCCGTAAGTCTTTATCGGGGAATTGTTTGCCGAATAAAGTGTCAATGAGGCGGGTGCTCTTAATGCCATGGCGGCGTTATATGGTAGAACGCAAATGTCGCTACCACTGTCGATTAGGTAGTGACGACGTGAGGTTGGATCGTAAACGAATAGGCGGCTTGTGTTGTTAATTTGGAAATCACATTGCGCCACGTGTGATTTCCGAGCTAGTTTCCCTGAACTCGGAATTTACAAGGGGCCTTACATTTATTTGCTTGAGCACCAAACTTCGCGTGATACCAGCATAGGTCTTTTGCCTGGAATCGAACAGGTGTCTGCGAACGCCGACGATTCCGAGATCGATTCCGGGGGTGTCTATAATCGCGTGATTGTCTGTCGCTGGGCCTTGCCAGGCGATTAACTTGCTCTGTTAATTCAGCGACCTGCGTTTGGAGCTTCATTATGGCCGCGTGTGTATTATTTTCGTTCTTTGCTAAATTAGTTTCGGCTATTTGCAAAGGTGTGAGCTCGAGAATTTTATCGGCCATTTGGGCTAATTTGTCTAAATCCCCATCGGAAACAGAAAGAATTGCCTGAGTTTCTTTGGGTAAACGCTGAATCCATAGCGTTCTTAAAAATTCCTCCCCGACTTTATTACTAGCTAGTTGTCGCATTTTGCGTAAAAGATGAGATGGTTTATCATCTCCTAACACGGCATTAGACAGCAAATCTTTCACTCGTTTTTGTTCGGAATCGGAAAATTCTGCTATGAGTCGATCTTTTAGTGTTTGATATAAATTTTCCCTAGGAGGGTTTTTAACGATATCGCTCACGTACGCTAACACTTCCGAGTTGAGAGCTGAAACCACTGCGTAATACTTAGTAGTATCTTGCGATATATCGGCGAGTTTAAACTGGGCCTCAATATTAATAAACCATAAATCGGCTTCTTTATCCCAAAATTGGGGAAGTTTAAGAGCTACCCGACTGATTTCTGGCTTAAGATCGATTTCGTTTGGCATTTTAAGGCAACCAGGGGATACCTACTCAGCAGAACAGCAAAAAAATATGGAACAGAAACTCCACTTACCCGTGTTAGATGACTTATTCAGGCAAGAGGTTGCAGACACACAAATGTGGGGACAATTTCGCCGGTTAGGAGTAGCGAGCGGTTCACCTATCCAAGGAGCGTCGTCTATAGTAGTCGCGGAATTTATTCCGTATTATCCACTGAGGGAACACAATGCAGTACTAGTAAAGGTCTTGTTCTTTCTTTGGTGTTCGAATTCACGTCGAATCACGTTCGGGTCACCACTGGAGGTAATGGATGGCCGCCATCGGTTAGATGAAATCTGGCCGTCTTTTTCCATCCATTTACATCTCCACAAAGACTGTCTTTATCAGAAGGCTGTAAACGTGAATTAGTTAAGTCCACGACCACGTTTTAAACTAAAACAACATTTATTTAACAACAATCCTCGAGTACACTTGAAAGAGAGCTACACGTGCTCAAGGCAGCGATCACCCGACAAGAAGAAGAAGCAACAATACCCAGAATTCTCTCTCTGGGAAAAACCCAGTTCCCGTTTTTCTATCCGGGATTCCCGGGAAACTCGTAGCGGAGTGGCGCCATCTCACCAGTCCGTGATTTGTCGCCGCAAATAATAATAGCATTTATTATTCAAATAAATTCAGTGTAAATAGTGCCCTCTAATAAACAGCATAACTGCAAGATGGGATAAAAAATATAGACCAGTGATTTCCAACAGGGTCAATGAAAGTTTGAGCAGGTTGATAAAAGTTTGCAAATAAAAAATTTTATTTAAAAATATTTAAAATTTTACACATTTTTTTGCTCTTAAATAAATGTTTGAAGATCTTTTAAAAATTGTGAGAAGCAATGAAATATATATTTATATACAATATAATATTGTATAATATATAGTATATAAAATATTGGAGGAGGTTGAATGAAAAACTTTTCTTAAATGGGGCTGATACATAAAAAGGTTGAAACTCCTGATAACAGATAATGTGCAGTTTATCAGAATAAATATGGTATTTAATGAATTCAAAATTAATTTACTATTATTAATCTTTATACAAAGTAATGACACAATTATCAAATTATACACAAAGTCAGATAATTGAATTAACCTTAGCATAATCCAAAAATAACAGCATTTTAGGCTTATATCTAGCAATAAATTTAGGCTTTAATTATACTGTAAGTGTAAACATTTAAAAGAATTCATAAAGTGAAGATATAATGCATAAGCTTCAATTTTCCAACACTTAATTTACATAAAGTATCATTAAGTAATAAAATAAATTAGAAGCAAGTTTTTCTAAAACTTTTTTCTATAACAAGATATACATTTAATAATTAAATAGATTAAGAGTCACACACACATATATATCACATCGAAATTATGAATTTAGTGCCTTATTAAATTATATAAAACAAATTTACCAATATTCTCCAAAGTTTAAAGATTAAAAATGTTTTTATTTATTACAGGAAATGTAAAAATATTTCTGTGAAATTATTTTTTATTCCTAATAATTTCCAATTAGTATAATAATTTAGCACAGAAATAATTTTTTTAAATGACAGAATGTTTTAATGCTACACTAGATAAATGTAAATTATCAGTCAACTTTATCACTTTTATTTATTAAATAGGGTATGTTAATAAACTAATTAAATAGGTATTTTAATGTATTCAAGGCTGACAAATTATCTTTAAAAGTTACAAGAAAATGAAAATTTATGAATTTGCTTTTTAAACTAAACTAAGTTAGTGCAAGTTCTACAAACTCAGTGATACTTAAAAGATACCTGTGTAGTTTTTAAAATTTATTTATAAATTAATTTAAAAAAATAAAACTTTTTAAAAAGTATTTTCAACTTGATACAGTTAAACAAAATAACAAATATAAAGAATTTCAGTCAATCAATTTTTTCAGTTGTTGTATAACAAATTTGTGATAAATGAATCTTTGGTTAAAATGGTAATGATATTTTTCACATTAAAAACACATGGAAGAAACTAAAACATCTTCATACTTTCATCATGTCCATGATGGAAGTATGAAGATGTGTTTTAAACTGTTTTACATAATTTTACAGAAGTATAGCATCTAATAAAACATTGTCTCTGTAAAGGAAGACTGTCTGTTCATGGTGATTGGACATGACAGAAATGTGAACACATTTTAACTTCTTCCATGTATTTTTAAAGGATCTTTGACTCTCAAGAAGTGCCTTGAGAGTCAAAGAAGTGAAATGCCTTGAATAGTATCACATCTCCAAAATACAGCATAAGTAATATCATATGAGCTTTTCTTATTGTTAATACAAGTCATGTTTCATATCTTCAGCTAAGTGACATGTACAGAACAAATTTTTTATCTTTTCACTTATTATGTTTTTTCTTTATGTACATGTTTTAAGATGGTGTTTTTTAATTATAATTTTTCTACTAATCTATTGTATAATACAATTAAACAAATATTAACATTATAAAAAAAATAAAATAATTTTATATAATAAGTTTTTGATTTGACTTTTTGCCTCGAAGATTATGATGCATAAAAACAATTTTTTGCAGAAAATTTGACAGCAGTCAAAATTATATTCTTATACATATAAACATAAATATTTATAAGGAAAATTATTTAAGTTTAATCCATTAATTTATCTGTAATATATATCAGTGTGTTTATTCAAAACAAATATATTTATATATTTTGTAACTTTTATCATTTTAGTCATTTACAAAAAAATTATTTTGTAACATGTTACTTTTTCCTAAATATTCTGTGATAAAATGGAGAATGCATCTTATATACTATAAAATACCATCCTTTGTTTCCTTGAGTTTAAGACATTATCAACTCTAATATGCACCAAATCAATTTTAAAATGTTTTTGATTGAACCAATATAGCTAAAGAATTGATTGGAATGAGTCTTTCCAATCATTTAAGATTAAATCAAAAGCATAAAATTTGTATGTTATAATTATAGAAGAAATAAATATGAATAAACCCTATAATTGGTTAGTATTTAACAAATAAGCAAAACATTTCATACAACAAAGTTTAATTTTTATTGTTAAGTTTGTGGTTAATTTATTCATTATTTATGGAAAAAATTATTTCTTCAATAAAAAAATGTACAAGTAGTTTTATTATTATTAAAAATATCTTTACGGGTAATAGTTAATGCCTAAATCTAAACATTTTCAGTTTAAAATTTTCTTCTATAAGAAAAAGCCAGTTTTTGACATAAGTGAACCACTCCATAATTCCTTAAACAAGTGAAAGCTAAATGTTTACACCTCATACTCATGCCTGGAGGGCAACAAATTTGGTTGAGATTTTGTCAGAAAATAGATCATATCTGAAAGATAACTGCATGCCTTTAAAGTATGTGGCTCTGGCCATCTCTTCACAAGAAAATGCCATTTAAATTTTACAAAATAAGGAAAAAAAACAATTCAGAAAAATAATATTAAAATTAAAATTTTGTGTTTAAAGTATTTTAATAATGGCAATTGAAGAAAGAAGAAATAATAATAAAAAAATATTACAATCCACAATTCATTAGTTTATTATTTACTGCCAACTGCATAATCTAATTCTACTAATGGAAGTTCAAATTTCTGCTATTTAAACTAAATAAAAAATTTTGTAAAATTCAAACTGCATTTACTCATAAAAGAATGACCAGTGCCACATGATCATCTTTCAATAAGACCTATTTTGTAGCAAAACCTCTGCCAAATCTGTTTCCCATCATATGTGACCTCTCCTATCAGTGCAAACTTAAGAAATGAAATTACTGCAAACTCTTAAATATTCTGTTCTATATAATTTCATACAAAATCCTAGAATTTGTTTTGTGTTATTTTTGAATAACAATCAAACTTTACATAATTGCATAGTTCAACCAGAAAATATTTATAACAGGTCTTTCAAAAAAATATTTTTATTATACCAGTAACTTTCACAACACCTTTCTTTTTTCTAGTAATTTCTTTAATGTAACTAATGTTTTTGGCTATTTTAAGTGGCCTTCTTCAGGTTGAATAAAAATAATGTCAGTTATAAAATAAATCAGAAAGTAAATTTAAAATCACAAGAACTCAATGTTTTAAATTTACGTTCTGATTTTATTTAACCTGAAGAAGGCAATTCAAAATCACCAAAAATGTCAGTTGCATTAAAGAAATTGCTAGAAAAAAGAAAGAAAGAAAGGTGTTATGAAAATTATTATTATACAAAGTTCTAGTTTACTGCACTTATAATTATTATACCGATAAGATGAATTTAATTATTTTATAAAAATGAATTTATATTTTGAGACATCATGAAATGTTGATACCAGACACGACTTTTTCACATCCACTTTATTTTCTGATGTACTTTACAGTGTATAAACCAATTGTTCCAAATGCCAATATGCATTTTTAAATATGACCAATATCATCAATAAATAATAATTAAAAAAAAAAAAAAACATTTCGTTTTGGTTGTTCAAGTGAACAACTCATTAACAAATCACTTAAATCATAACTATAAACTGTTTTATTATCTCGTTTCTGATTGGTCAGCAGTGAATGATTTTCATAAAGAAATATTTTTATGTGATTTTGTTTGAGTTGCTATAGAAAATTAAGCACTTTTTAAGAACTTTCAAGGATCTGTAAGGACTGTGGAAACCTAATGTGTTTAATTTAAACTCATTTTTATCAGCAAAGTTCAGTTGAACTGATGTGAATATTAAGCAGTATAGCCAAAAACTTGAACTGATACACTGTATGGTTTATCACAATAACTGATAATTGCAGGGTTCACAATTACTTGTATTTAATGTGTAAATTATCATTTTTCTTTACCTAACTTAACTCATTATTTCTAGTATTGCAAGTCAAGATATACTTGAAAAATAGCCACTAACTTTTTTGTATTTTTTATAACTATTTTCTCAATATGTAACACATCATTGTCCCATTATTTTTGTAAAGAATTTCAAAAATGGAATAAAATTAAGAATTCAATTAAAGGTTTATTCCCTTTCAACAACTGTTTGACAGTTCTTTAGAAGTTGAAAATATCTCAATAAATAGTATCAATAATCTTCATAAAAAGCAGTCTAAGAATTGTTATTTTGGACTGCAAATGTAAGACACCATCAATTCTAAGATGTCTCTATTTTGATAAGTAAAATAGGTGAAAACACAAATCTTAGAATTGAGGAAATGGGTGTTTATAAGTTAAAAATAAAATACGTTTGTATATATATGCAAACTACTATTAATTACATTCCACTTATCTCCCAAAATCATTGAATACATTCCAGTATGCATCAAACAATATGTTGAGAACCGTGACGTACTGATACTAAAATGCATTCCAATATTTACGGACATTGATGCTCATTACATTCATCAGGATGCAAATATGTCCACTTCCACATTTATATTATTAACACCATTTTTACTATTCATCTGTATTAACACAGAGTTATCTTGACAAAATAAAGCTGAAAATGCCAATGTAGTGCTGTTTACTTCTGCCATCTTGTTAGATTTCCAGTATTCCAGTAAAAACTTATTAAATCATTTGCCTGTGCATTGGTTGTGGCTGAGATAATGCCTACTGAAATGTAACAATTTATAATCCTATTAATTCATGTAAAAATTGTATATAAAATAACATACTAGAATGCTAAATAAAGAAAACAAAAAAATATATAGAAATATAACAAATTATAAATGGATAATTTTAATTTAATTC